ATATTTTTTTTTCGTTTTTTTTTCTTCGGGTCACTCATGCTACCAAAACAGTTAACTTTTAAAAGCGCGGTTGTAAGATCTTAAAGATCTTCTTGTTTGGTTTCAAATGAGGTGTTGTGGTCACACAAGTTGTGTGTCGGTACGAGTACACAGGCAAGATGCCGAAGAGGGCGAATAACGTAAAACCCAGCCTGAAATTGACAATTCCGGAAGTTAAAGGCTACCGCGTCGGTGAAAAGTTTATTGTTAGGAAGAAAAGGGGAGAAGGGATTTCGAATTACTTTAACAATTTTATTGAACAAATCCCGTCGGTTTAGTTCGATTGGTTCGATTGAGTTCGGTCATCGTAAACTCACCAATCCGAACTTTGGGCCTCACACAATCCTTGGATACACTCAGGCACCATTTCATTCTCAACATAGTACATCAGTGTCTAATTTGCGTCGGTCGAATACTTTTACAGAGGTGCCGGACACTTTGACAGTAAGCGAGGTTTGGTAATTAAATAGTATACTGTAAAAGCTTGGGTATTAAAGGTCAATAGATAGTGAATAGATTCAATCATTCTGTGTTCATACCGTCTTATTTAACAAACATCACTGATATTCAGTTAAATAGCTAGTAGACTATGGGTACAAGATTTATGTGACATATAATAAGCGAAAGCATGAGTACTGGAATTGAAACTTGTTAACCGGACACATTGTCGTACACCTACCCAAATCTAAAAGTCACTCGATATACACCGAAATAAACCGACAGTCAGTCAGCAACGCTGTGCGATGTTGATTTGTCACGTATACCCCACGAGACAATCATCATGGACAAAACTGTCCCGTGTTTTACACATTTTGACCCCCATCGGTTTATGGCCGCCATACGCTTTGGGAACTACCTTGCATACGTTCTGCTTTTCCAGTTTAATCGGCTGTCTACTTAATGTCCTCTGTATCAACTAAACTGCACCTATCGCGCGTAGCTGTTTTAAGACCCATTAGCGTTCACAACGGTTGATAATTATTGTGGTTCAAAACTGACATGGACCTGATACACGTGCGACATGTCACAATGCTCCTGAAAACCCTTCGGAAATTTCCCAATCTCCAGGGGAACACAAATGGATTCACGGCTGAATTGGCCATTATAAGAAGAAATTGAATGTCAATGATCCAATGAAGAAACACACAATGACAATTTGTGCAGAGATTGATGATGTAAATAAAAATACATGATGGGAGATAAAAAGTAAGAAACAACAGCATTACAATGAGCAGTGTTTTCGTCATTTTCTTTTCCCACATCATCAACTGTCTCATAATCAAGTTCTCTTCTGTACTCTCGTGGAAGGTGTCCCATTGCTGCGTCTGGTGTCGCAAGTACTTCAAAATCTTGGCTTTCGTAAAAATCAGCACAACAATGGTAACAGCTAAGGCAGTGTTAGCAAAGATGAAAAGATATCTGAAGGGCCCCACAATGAAAAAGATCATCGAAAGCAGAATGGACGCAATCCACACAATAACTGAAACCAAGAAGGTCCTGACAGGGTTAAGGTTGGTTCGATAACTCAGAGGGTTCATGATGGCGAGATAACGATCGAGCGCTAGAGCTGATAGGCTGAAAAGTGACGCGGTGCATAAAATAAAATACGCTACCAGAACTATGTCTCCGAAAGGCTGCTTTAGCTTGTCAAGTCCCTTCAGGATATGATTTATCGTAGACAAAGGCCCTACAATAAGTCCAACGACAAGGTCCGCAATGCTAAGATTCGCTACGAAGTAGCAAAACGGTGTCCGCAAGTCTTTGTAAGGATTCCAGATGACAGCAATAACCACGAGAGAGTTTCCAACAGACGCAATGATACTAATTAATATTGAAGACGAGGCCGTGAAAAAGGGTAAATAACTTGGAACTGTAGCGTTAACGCAGAGATCTTCCCCAAGTATAAGAGACATTTTCTGCCCACAGTCGGTGGACAGGTCAGTTCGTATGACCTAGATTTTTTCGGGCGACCAAGAGTAGTCCAAAGCACTCATCTATTTAGCGAGTCAGCGTCTAACATTCCCTAAAATGTAATATTGTCTTGTCACGAGTTATTTCAGCGTCGATCACATGAAGTGTTTCGAAAATTGGCGGTCAAATTCTTGGATACGTCGGTGGACGGTAAACATTTTCTTGGATGCAATGTCGTCACGAGTTAATTGAGCTTCGATCACATGAAATGTAGTTTCGAACTTTGGAAGTCAAATTATTGTATACGCCGGTAACTACGGTTTTCCATGCCGCTTTGGTTATTTCTGTGTTGTTTGTTTGTTTAACATAAGCCATAGCTGGCTAGACTACCAATGGGCGCTCTTTGCTTAGTCAGTCGCGCGTGACGCGAAAGAAAATCTCGAGGAAAAAAATGACCGCGCCAAATCCTGGAGGCAAGAGGCGCACGCTAAATGATAAAGAAATCAGTGTTGTCTGTCTGACTTTATCATCCTTTCCAAATGGGAGCCATATTATATGCTGGCCGAGAAAATTTGATGGAATGCTTACAAATCTTTTAGTGTTTAATCTG